GGAACCCGACAAAGGTTACAAAATATGAACGCCCATTCAACCACGAGTCCAACCATACCAAATTTACCAAATTACGACATCAACTCGACCTTCAAATCCTCAAATCTTATTTTCAAATCCCTAGGCCTAAATCCTCTAATATCACCTCAAAAACACGTAATCTAATCGAAATACTCAATGATAATCCAATATTATTGACTAACAATGATCACAAGTGACTGACCTCAAGATTTCCCGTAATTCTCTCTGAAAAATCGCCCAAAATCGTGTTGAAAATGTCCAAAAGGACAAAAATATCGGAACCCTCTGTTTTTGTACACTGCCCAGAAGTTCCGCTTCTAGGGAACTTTTAACCACTTCTGCGGTTTTTCGTCCCGCTTCTGTGCCATTCTCGCTTCTGCGGACTCGCTTCTACGAAGAAGCGTCCGCTTCTGCGGTCTAGTGCACTCGTAGCCCAGGCCGCATCTGCGACCATGTGGTCGCTTCTGCGAACTCGCTTCTGCGAAGAAGCGTCCGCTTCTGCGGTCTAGTGCACTCGTAGCCCAGGCCGCATCTGCGACCATGTGGTCGCTTCTGCGGTCGTGCTTCTGCGACATTTCGTTTGCTCCTGCGGACCACACGCTTCTTCGATTCCAGGCTCGCTTCTGCGAGCCAATTTCCGCAGGTGTGATTGCATCAGTAGGCAGTAGCAAGTTTCAATTGTTCTAAGTCCAAATTTTATCTGGTAACCATCTAAAACTGACCTGAGGCCCCCGGGACCTCAACCAAATATACCAACAAGTCCTAAAACATCATACGAACTTAGTCGAAGCCTCAAATCACATCAAACAATGCTAAAAACACGAATCATACCCCAATTCAAGCTTAATGAAACTAAGAAATTCCTACTTCTACATTCGATGTTGAAACCTATCAAATCAAGTCCGATTGACCCCAAATTTTACGCACGAGTCAGAAATGACATAACAGACCTATTCAAATTTCCAGAATCGGATTTCGACCCCGATATCAAAAATTCAACTCCCCGGTCAAACTTCCAAACCTAAATTTCTAATTTAGCCATTTCAAGCCTAATTTTGCTACGGGCTTCCAAATAATTTTCTCGACACGCTCCTAAGTCCAAAATCACAATTCGGAGCTATTGGAATCATAAAAAATTTATTCTGGTGTCGTTTACACATAGGTCGACATCCACCAAACCTTTTCAACTTAAGTTTTAAACATTGAAACTAAGTGTTCTAATTCATTCCAAGACCTCACCAGACCTAAACCAATTACCCTGGCAAGTCATATAACAAATGTAAAGCAAATATTGAGCAGTAAATGGGAAAACGGGGTTGTAATACTCAAAATGACCGGCCGGGTCGTTATATTCTCTCCCTCTTAAACAAACGTTCATCCTCGAACGAGTTTAGAATCATACATGGAGCCTCAAATAGGTGTAGATATTTGCTTTGCATCTCCCGCTTAGTCTCCCAGGTAACTTCTCTAACTGGATGGCCTCTCCACTGTACTTTCATTGAATCTATGTTCTTTGATCTCAACTTTCGAACTTGCCGGTCTAAAATGGCCACCGACTCAACATCATAAGTTAAATTACCATCCAATTGCACTGAGCTGAAATCCAAAACATGAGACGTATACCCGACATACTTACAGAGCATAGATACATGAAACACTGGATGAAAACTCGATAGATTAGGCGGCAATGCAAGTTTATAAGCCACCTCTCCAATCTTCTTAAGTATTCAAAAGGTCCAATATACCTAGGACTCAACTTGCCCTTCTTCCCAAATCTCATAACACCCTTCATAGGCGAAACTCAGAGTAGTACCTTCTCTCCTACCATGTAAGCAATATCGTGAACCTTCCGATCGGCATAACTCTTTTGTCTAGACTGCGCTGTGCGAAGTCATTCCTGAATCAATTTAACCTTTTCCAAAGCATCCTGAACTAAATCAGTACCCAATAGCCTAGCCTCACCTGGCTCAAACCAAACCACCGGAGACCGACACCATCTCCCATATAAGACCTCATACGGAGCCATCTGAATACTCGATTGGTAGTTGTTTATTATAGGCAATCTCTGCTAGTGGCAGAAACTGATCCCAAGAACCCCCAAAATCAATGACATAAGCGCATATCATATCCTCTAATATCTAAATAGTGCGCTCGGACAGTCCGTCCGTGTGAGGGTGAAATGTTGTACTTAACTGTACTTGTGTGCCTAACTCTCACTGTACTGCCCTCCAAAACTGTGATGTAAACTCAATGCCCCGATCAAAAATGATGGACACTGGCATACCGTGAAGGCGAACAACTTCACGGATATAAATCTCAGCCAATCGCTCTGAAGAACAAGTAGTACCGACTGGAATAAAATGCGCGGACTTGGTCAACCGATCTACAATCACCCAAAAAGCATCAAACTTTCTCAAAGTCCGTGGGAGCCCAACAACGAAGTCCATGGTAATACGCTCCCACTTCCACTCCGGAATTTCAAGTTTTTGAAGCAATTCTCCCGGTCTCTGATGCTCGTATTTCACCTGTTGACAATTTAAACACCGAGCTACAAACCCAACTATATCTTTCTTTATTTTTCTCCACCAATAGTGTTGCCTCAAGTCTTGGTACATCTTAGCGGCACCCAGATGAATGGAATACCGCAAACTGTGGGCTTCTTCAAGAATCAACTCACGCAGTCCATCTACATTTGGCACACAAATACGACCCTGCATTCTCAATACCCCATTATTTCCAATATTAACATCTTTAGCATCACCGTGTAGAACTGTGTCCTTAAGGACAAGCAAATGGGGATCATCATACTGACGCTCTCTAATGCGATCATATAAAGAAGACCGAGAAATCACACAAACTAGAACCCGACTGGGCTTCGAAATATCTAATCTCATGAATTGGTTGGCCAAGGCCTGAACATTAACTGCCAGAGGCCTTTCACCAATAGGAATGAATGCAAGGCTATCCATACTCCCCGCCTTTCTACTCAAGGCATCGGCAACCACATTGACCTTCCCGGGATGATACAGAATAGTGATATCATTGTCCTTTAGCAACTCCAACCATCTCCGCTGCCTCAAATTTAAATCCTTCTGTTTGAATAAGTGTTGAAGACTCCGATGATCTGTAAATACCTCACAAGACACACCATAGAGATAGTGCCTCCAAAATTTTAATGCATGAATAATGGCGGCCAATTCTAAATCATGGACATGGTAGTTCTTTTCATGTGGCTTCAACTGACACGAAGCATAAGCAATCACTCTACCCTCCTTCATTAAGATAAACCCAATACCAATCTGAGAAGCATCACAATACACTGTATAAAAGCCTGAAGCTGAAGGCAAAACTAGAACTGGAGCTGTACTCAAGGCAGTCTTGAGATTCTGAAAGCTCTCTTCACACTCATCCGACCACCTGAACGGAACACCTTTCTCCGTCAATTTAGTCAAGGGTGATGCAATAGACGAGAAGCCCTCCACAAAGAGACGATAATAACCAGCCAAGCCAAGAAAACTCTAAATCTTAGTAGCTGAAGATGGTCTGTGCCAACTCTGAGCAACCTCTACTTTCTTCGGATCCACCTTAATTCCTTCACTGGACACTATGTGTCCCAAGAATGCCACCGAACTAAGCTAGAACTCACACTTGGATAATTTGGCATAAAGTTTCTCCTCCCTCAATCTTTTTAGTACAATACTCAAATGTTGTGCATGTTCTTCTTGGCTACGTGAGTACACCAGGATATCATCAATAAATACTACAATAAACAAATCAAGATATGGCTGGAATACACTATTCATCAAGTGCATAAATGTTGTTGGGGCGTTGGTTAGCCAAAAGACATCACGAGAAATTCATACTGGCCATAACGGGTACTGAATGTCGTCTTTAGAATATCCGAGTCCCGAATTTTTAACTGGTGATACCCAGATCTCAAATCAATTTTAGAGAATACCCTCGCTCCATAAAGCTGGTCAAAATAAATCATTAATACACGGGAAAGGATATTTATTCTTGATTGTAACTTTGTTCAACTGCCTGTAGTCGATGCACATCCGCAAAGTACCATGTTTCTTTTTCACAAACAGAACTGGTGCACCCCAATGCGACACACTTGGCCTAATAAACTGCTTATCAAGAAGTTCTTGAAGTTGCTCTTTCAATTCTTTCAATTCAGCTGGTGACATAAGATACAGAGGAATAGAAATGGGCCGAGTGCCCGGCACCAAGTCAATACAAAAATCAATATCCCTTTCGGGTGGCATACTCGGCAGGTCTGCAGGAAATACATCCGGAAAGTCTCACACTACCGGTACAGAATCAATAGTAGGAGTGTCTGCATCAACATCTCTTACAACTGCCAAATATGAAAAACACCCTTTCCCAACCATACGTTGGGCCTTCAAATAAGAAATTACCCTGTTGGGAACATAATCTAGAGAACCTCTCCATTCGACCTTCGACAAACCCGGCATCGCCAACGTTACGGTTTTTGTGTGACAGTCCAGAATAACATGACATGGAGACAACCAATCCATACCCAAGATTACATCGAAATCAACCATACTAAGCAATAAGAGATCAACTCAAGTCTCCAGTCCCCCAATAGTTACCACACACAACTGATACACAGAGTCCACAATAATAGTATCGCCCACCAGCATAGATACACGAACAAGTGAAACTAAGGACTCACGGGGCATATCCAAATAATGTGTAAAGTGCGATGATACATACAAATAAGTGGAATCAGGGTCAAATAATATAAAAGCTTCTATGTGGCACACTAAGACAATACCTATGATCACTGCATCTGAAGCAACAACACCTGGCCTGGCAGGAAAAGCATAGAATCGGGCCTGACCACCACCTGATCGGCCTTCCCCTCTTGGGCGACCCCTAGCTGACTGAGCCCCACCCCGAGCTGGCTGGGCGGGTGGTGGAGCAATTAGTGCAGAAGTAGTATCCTGACTCCTCTACTGAACTGGACCTCGCGAAAGGCGGGGGCAATATTTCCTCACATGACCCAACTTTTCACACTCATAGCAATCCCTCTCGAAAAATGGTGACGAGTTCTGAGGCGGGCCTCGAGAACCAGAATAACTACCAGAAGAACCTTGTACAAATGATCCCTGAACTAAAGGAGCACGGGGCGTACTCTGGCTGGCAGGGCACTGAGAGATGACTGACCCTGATGAGAACTATATGAACCATGGCTGGATGATGCACCGCGGTGAACTGGACGACCCGTCTGAGCATGCCTGTAATGGTGACCCCTGATGCGGTAGGACTTCCCTCCAGAAGGTACCCCACCAGAACCGCCCGAACCTCGAGGCCTCTTGGCCTCCTTCTCACCACACTCCTGGATACAGACCACTTCTATCTGCCAGCAATGTCAACCACCTCATCAAAAGTGGCACTAGATAACCTCTCCCTAGTCATAAGCAATCGCAGCTGATACGTGAGGCCATCAATGAACCTCATAATCCTTTCTCTATCAGTGGGAACCAACTAAACTGCATGACAAGCCAACTCAAAAAACCTCATCTCGTACTGGGTCACAGACATGCCATCCTGCCAAAGCTGCTCAAACTGTCTGCACAGCTCTTCCCTGCGAGATTGCGGCATGAACTTCTCCAAAAAGAGGACAGAGAACTCATGCCATGTAAGTGGTGCTGCACCGACCGGCCTGCGCCTCTCATAAGCCTCCCACCATCTGAAGGCAGCCCCAGAAAACTAAAAAGTAGTGAATGAGACCCTACTGGTCTCCAGAATACCCGCTGTCTGAAGCATACGTTGGCACTTATCCAGAAACCCGTGAGCATCTTCTGACTCATCACTAAATGATGGAGGTTGAAGCCTCCCAAATCTCTCAAGTCTCCTCTGCTCATCATCTGCCATAACGGGGACTACCGGGGCCTGAGCAGCTGCAACCGGATGGGCTGGTAGTGCCCCCAGTATCTAAAGTCCCTGCACTACCTGATCTGGAGTACGGACAACAGGGGTATGAGTACCTCCCCCGGCCAGAGAAGTGGCAGGTGCGGCCTGAGCCGAAACCACCCGAGCAAGGTCAGTGCAAACTATCAATATCTCAGCCAAAGCCTCCATGGGCACAGCTGGTGCCTGAGCTGGTCCTGTCGGCTCAGCTATATCTGGAATCTGCTCCTGGAGCAACTGGTGGTGCTACAGGTGCTGCTCCATCTACTATACGAGCTACACCTCAGCCTCTCATGGCCCTAACTGGTGGCACTGGTGGATGATCGTCTGATCCGGTAGTATGTGTCCTCACCATCTGTAAGAGAATAGGATAACAGAAATTTAGTTTTCGGAATCAATAATTCGCACGACAGAATACAAGAAACTAAAATTTTTCCTAAGGGTCCGGTAGCCTCTCGAAGATAAGTACAAACGTCTCTGTACCGATCCGCAAAACTCTACTAAACCTGCTCATGACTCGTGAGACCTATGTAACCTAGGCTCTGATACCAACTTGTCACGACCCAAAATCATACTTGTCGTGATGGCGCCTATCTCAATACTAGGCAAGTCGACAACCTCAATGAAACACAATATCTTTTTAATTTGAAACATAATATTTGGGTTTAATAGAAAACCTCACAAATTTCAGATACAAAACACTCCCAAAACTTTGTGTCACTAAGTACATGAGGAGCATCTAAATGAATACAAAGTCTAACTGATAAAAAACACTGTCCGAAAGTATAGAACCGTACAATAACTGAGAGAAAGAGAGTCAAGGTAAGCGGACGCTAGACAACTACCTTGATAGTCTCCAGTTGATAGCACTCTGAAATCTAACAGTCGCCGTGTCTGAAAGCACATGGATCTACACATGAGGTGCAGAGTGTAATATGAGTACAACCAACTTAATAAGTAACAAGACTAACCTCTGGGCTGAAAGTAGTGACGAGCTCCGCAGGTACAGTCCACTATATAAATAATGGTATATAAATGTAGGCATGCTTTCAAGTTCAACAGTTAAACTCAATACAAATAAAATAGATCAATATTGCATGATATGAGGAACATGACATCTTAGTGGAATGACCTCATGTACTACTGGTCACTAATCATTCGGTTACTGATTACTGTTTATGGCCAATTCAGCCCAGGGATATTCCATCCCGTATATATATATATACACATCGACTGACAGTCAGTCACTCAGTACCGTATAAGGCCAATCCAGTTCTAGGGTAATTTATCCTCAGATGTAACTGATACGGACGAGATCCATGTCCAGGGAAATTCATCACAATATAAATAAGTAAGGCAAGTCTATGCCCTCGAAAGTCCATCCTGAATATATAATCATCTATGCTCACTGGGGTGTGTACAAACTCCGGAGGGGCTCCTTCAGCCCAAGCGTGATATAAAGCCGATATGGCATACTGCAGGCGGACAGTTCCGATCCGTATAATAATAAAGCTGATATGGCCTGCTGCAGGCGGGCAGCCACGATCCATATAATAATAATAATAATAATAGTAATAATAATGATAATAATAATAATAATAATAATAATAATAATATATATAAAGCCGACATGGCCTGTTGCACGCGGGCATCCTCGATCTCATAAATATCCTCACATTTATGAACATGATTGATTATGAAATATACATTTTAACGCAATTAAATTCGACAGCACCACGACCCTGTGGGTCCCAAAATATCGGCACGTAGACAAATCATGATCTTTAATACGAGTCTCAGCTCAATTTCCTAACACGTGAAGGATGTGCGAATAATAACATGATTCTTTAATTTTACAACTTCACAGGATTTATTCAAGTCACAATTTCTACGGTGCACATCCACACGCTCGTCACCTATCGTGTGCGTCACCTCCAAACAATTTATATAACATCAAATTCAGGGATTCATACCCTTAGAACCAAGTTTAGAAGTGGTACTTACCCCAAACAGTGTAATTCATTATTCCACTATGCCTTTGCCTTGCGAATTGGCCTCTAGGTGCATCTTTCCACAACGAGGACATGGGGGCCTCCTCTGCTGCTAGAATCTACCACCATGACGACCCTGCTGATATGAGCCCATGTTGCCCTGACTGAGCCTGAAACGGCTCCACTGTTGCTGCTGACTAGGCCCTGATGGCGGTGCACTAGCCGAAGACTGAGCAAAGGACTGTGATGGCCCTGACGACCCTCCTCTGAATGTTGACTTGCCACCACTCGAAGAACCACCAAAGTTGCTCGTAGACCGGGCCTTATTACTACCCTCTCGCTCCATTATGTTCCTTAATTTGTCGGTCTCTGTGGCTTAAGCAAATGCCACCATCTTTTCATAGTTCATATCAGAATTCAAGGCAGCTGTAGCAGCCTTATTAATTACCAAGGGACTAAGGCCCTGTACAAATCGGCACACTATAGCCTCCATAGTGGGCAGCATGTAAATAGCATACTTAGACAGGTACACGAATCTCATATGGTAATCCCACACACTTAAGCTACCTTGCCTCAAGTTCTCAAACTCAGCAACATGGGCTGCCTTAGACTCAGTAGGCAAGAAATGATTAATGAAGGCATCAGTAAACTCACCCCACCTCGTAGGAGGGCTCCCTTCTTCACGGGACTCCTCCCATAGTTCAAACCAAGAATATGCCACCTCTTTCAGGCGGTAGGAGGCCAATTCCACTGCCTCTGTTTCAGTAGCACGCATAACTCTGTGAGTCTTGTGCATCTCATCAATGAAATCCTGGGGATCTTCCTCTGGGTTAGTACCCGTGAACACTGGAGGATCTAACTGGAGAAACCTGTTCACCCTGGAACTAGTAGAATCCCCTAGTTGACTGGAAGAAGTGGGTACAACATATGACCTCTAGGTCTGGGAAACCACTATTTGAGTCAACATCTCTATGGCTCCCCTAAGATCAACATCAGAAACACCAGAATAGGAAGCTGGAACTGGAGGTGGAACTGGTATATCAGTTGGAGGAACTGTTGCACCTTCAGTAGGTGTAGGGACAGGTGTGGTCTGATCAGTTGTAGTAGAGTCAGGCAGTGTAGTAACTAGAGGAATATTCTCACTCCTCGGGTGCTCACCCGCATCATCAATTATAGGATCAACTGTCACTCCTGGGGTGACATTGGCTCTTTGGCCAGTTCTTGCCTTCTTCTTAGGTGCCATGTACTGAAAATTAGAGCAACTCAGGAATTAAAGGAGGAACAATCTTACAACCAACTTTATTGCACTATCAAGAACATGAAAGAAGGGTATTATTCCTAAATTCCCATGTAGCATCCTAATTATAGATGTGGTCGACAACACACCAATAATAAGGACTCTACTAGACACGGCTCCGAGACATCCTAGGACACATTAAAACCCTAGGCTCTGATACCAAAATTGTCACGCCCCAAAACCGAGGAGCGCGACCGGCGCTCAACCGAGTGAACCCGACCGAGCAAGCCTGTTAGATTTCATTCTACGCAAACTCATCCACGAATAGAGATAATACATATTTTCATTAATTAGACAAAAATGTGTTCATGTATACAATACCAATTCATTTCTAATAGTTTCATCATTTTTAAAGTCTCAAATGGACAAGTAATACAACCACAACATAACATAGTTTGTTTTTCCTCAGCACCAATACACAACCCACACTATGTCTACGGAGCCTCTATAGATAAAGAAGAGTACAATGATAATGCCGGCAACAAGGCCCCGGCTATACCTCAAACCGAATACACAAAGTACAAAAGATACATGACCCCGGGTGAAGTGGGGCTCACCAAGTCAGCTGGGAAGAAGGTGTACTGCTATCACTGATCAATATCTCCTGCTGTGGAACCACCTGTATCCATTTAAAGATGCAGCGCCCCCGGCAAAAGGGATGTTAGTACCGTCGAATAGCACTAGTATGTATAACTAAACACCCTATCAATAGAATGACAAATAATACGAACAAGATTATCATAATATCAACGGAAGCTTTAATCAACATCAAACCTTAATTTAGGATCAAGACAATATTCAAATTAATTTCCATATCTCACATTGGTAGATTTTTAGTATCGATAGACCATTGTCCACAATACCATTATTCACAAAACCAGTACCACCGTACTCTTAGCACGGAGTCCGATCACGACCCGATCTGCCAGGCTATCTCATTAGAGACATCAACCATAATTTCTCTCAATATCAATACCACCGTCTTTAATACGGAGTCCGATCACGACCCGATCGGCTAGGCTATCCATTAAGGACATCGACCACAATCACAATTTCAATTACAATTTCCAGCACAATCACCACCATGTGTGCGACATAGTGTCCGATCACGACCCGACCGGCTAGGCTGTCTTATTTGAGACATCAACCTTTTTATATCAATCATTGCATTTCATATTACTTTCAAATCTTTTCATTTCATTGGCACTAGTGGCCATAATTATAAGATCATTCTAGGCACGTTGGCCATATTCAGTATTTCATGCTCACCTTATCAATTTCGAATATCATTATCATCATCAACAATAAATACTATTCAAATCAAGGTGTGTAGTACACATGTGAGCAATTTAGAGTCTAAGGCACATAGACATATTTCACAAAATTTGGCATAATAGCCTTCATTTGAACTTGACTTAAAGTCGAAACGTTATTAATGCACAACCTATATTTTAACACATTCTCAATTGGTAACATAACATGAATAAAGCATTTGGGATGCTTATTGAACATATATCTTTCAACCCAATCTTACTCGGAATAGCCAGTTTCATAATGAATCACTCGGGACTTATATAATTTATATGAATATCGTGGGATTCAATTCTAAAAGAAGAGTTTAGCCAACATACCTCACTTGAGCTTCCTTACACTCTAAATGTTCCGGATTCTTAGCAACTTCAATCTATTTTAAAAATATAACAAATTGCACCAAAATTAGGAAGATGATCATGGTTAACAGTTATGCACCAAAATTGCACTGCATAACAGTTATGCGGTCTCATAGTCGACCGCATAGCTGCTTCCAGAATGGCCCTCTCCTGCTCACTTCTGCGGCTATTATGCAGCCCGCAGAGTGATTATGCGGTCGCATAATGGACCGCATAAATGCACTTTTTCGCCAATAAGTCCAAATTTGATCCGTTAACCATTTGAAACTCACCCGAGCCCCCCGGGACCTCAACCAAATACACCAACAAGTCCTAAAATATCATACGAACTTAGTCGAAGCCTCAAATCACATCAAACAACGCTAAAAATATGAATCATACCCCAATTCAAGTTTAATAAAACTAAGAAATTTTAACTTCTATATTTGATGCCGAAACCTATCAAATCAAGTCCGATTGACCCCAGATTTTGCGCACAGGTCATAAATGATATAACAAACCTATTCAAATTTTCAGAATCGGATTTCGACCCCGATATAAAAAAGTCCACTCCCCGGTCAAACTTCCAAACTTAAATTTCTATTTTAGCCATTTCAAGCCTAATTTAGCTACAGGCTTTCAAATAATTTTTCGGACACGCTCCTAAGTCCAAAATCACCATTCGGAGCTATTGAAATCATAAAAACTTTACACATAGGTCGACATCCAGCCAAACTTTTCAACTTAAGTTTTAAACTTTGGAATTAAGTGTTCCAATTCATTCCAAGACCTCACCGGACCCGAACTAATTACCCCGGTAAGTCATATAACAAATATAAAACACAAATTGAGAAGTAAATGGAGAAATGGGGTTGTAATACTCAAAATGACCGGCCGGATCGTTAAACTACCCTTCCTCGGTGGCTAAAAGATATTCCCAAGGCATTTATTATCAAAAGTATTTACCACTCAGTTCATATTCTTTTATATGTCATTCATTTTATTGGCATCATTGGCCATAACGTAATATCATTCTCGGCACATTGGCCGTACTTCATAATTCATGCTCACTATTCCACTTTTAAACATAAACACGGATTGTCAACAACAAATATTTCTATCCAAGACTTTAAGCATACATTTGAGCAATTTAGGGTCTTTGGCACATGTGATTTCTTACACAATTTGATATGATCGTCTTCATTTGGGCTTGACTTAAGGTCACGATATTTTAATACATACTCATACTTTGAACCCGCTCCCGAAAAATAATATAACATGATAATAATATTCAGGAACACATTTTGAACATATTCATATAAATACATCTTTCGACACCAAATTTATTCATAAAAGTTAATTCGTAATAGACAACTCGGGACTTACTAGAACATCGTGGAAATTCAATTATAAGAGAGAAGTTTAGCCAACATACCTCGCCTCGAGCTTTTTAATTTACTACAATGTTCCGAAAATCCTAGCCACTTTGATCTATTTAGAGAAATAGCAAAATTGAACACAAATTAGGAAGGAGTTCATAGTTCGAGCTCACTTATGCATTTTATCAAACACTAGGTGTGCATTAAAGTTTCAAGGCCCTCCTATGGTAGATTCTTTCACCCCACTACCCAAAGTTCATCCAAAAGAGCTCAATAATCTTCCCACTACCCTAGATGGTACATGAATATAAAATAAACAACTCCTACACCCAAAAATTGCTTGGCTTATTACATATTTACAATTAAGATCACGAAATTAAGGGCTATGAAGTAGAACCTTACCTCTAGGATGGAGACCTAGTGAATTCTCCTTACAAATTCTTCAACTCGAGCAAGAATTGATGGATGATGAGCTTAGGAACTTCCCCTCTCACTCTATGTCACTCCCTCTCTCTAGGAATATATATTTTTCCCTTTTAAAATGATCTCCAAGGGTGTTTTATAAGAATGGGGTCGGGTTCAAAAAGTAGAAAAATAAGAGCCCCGTCACAAATCTGCGGTCGCATATGCGACCTCATAATACTTATGCGGTCCGCAAAATGGGCCGCATAATGACTCTCCGGAACTGGGCAATTTTGTCCCACTTTGCGATCAGTCTGCGGTCCGCAGACCAATTCTGCGATCGCACAATGCGCCGCACAACTCCCCTCCGAAAAATTCCATGTTGGGTCTACGATGAGTTATGCGGCCCGCATAATGGGCCACATAATGGTCCAAAATTTTGCCCCAGTTTTCTGCCTTGATCTGCGGTTCGCATATCCGTTCTGCGACCGCAGAAATGCCCTGCATTTTCAAAAATTTTCTTCAACTCCCCAACGCAGTGTTCAACCCAAAAAATCCGAACCGCGGTTCGCAAGCTCGCAGCGAAGAATCTCTACAATCGCCAACACATAAGCCTACTTCGGCACCACGAAACTCCGGGTCTTAGGTAAAATTTTATAGGGTCTTACAGATGAATACTCTTCACCGAGTAACATTTAATAGAGAATATTCCGTGGCATTAAGAACGATTGCCCGTTACAAGAAATTTGGCATTAATATTCACCATTACATCTTTATCAACGACCCTCATAATTGACATTAAAGAGGGGCACGATCCTATGACCTCCTTCCCTAAACGTAGCTATAAACGGTGAGCTCAATTATCATTGTAAAAGGAAATTTTTTGGACAAACTCATGCAACATTCTATTCAAAGTTTAATACAATCTTATCTTCTTGCCTTTTGGTTTCATTATTGTTGTGCCCGAAAACCCTATTCCCGAAACTGCTATTTCTGTTATTTCGTCTCCATCTCAAGGCTAAGTCTTGCATAATTCTTCAATTATTTTATTATTTTAGGATCAAATTAATTTACTTGTCTAGAAATCACGTATAAATTTAACTGTACCGTTTTACGGCTAAACAAAGGTCTAATCGACGAATGACAATACAAGCAAATGCAATTTTGAAGGCAGCAAATGTCATTTTGAGCTATGTATGTGTGTATCTTGTATTGTAATGCACTGGATTTCAATTTATCAAAAAAAGAATGGAGTATTAAATATCATCGATTTGTCAAATTTATTGATTTAAAATCTTAAATTCACCTTTAACGGGCACACAAGTTTATTGTGACGAAAGATTAGGTACGTACTCAGGTTACTATATAATGCTGGCTCAAAACTTTACATTTGCAGTTGATTAAGGACATTAATATTTGATAAAAATGTTTATACAAAATAAAAATAATTTAACCTTGTGGTAAAACAATGAATTTATAAATGAAAAAACATATATCATATATTCATTGGTTGGTTTAATTTAAATAAATTATCCTATTTTTCTCAGCTTGTATGTATCATTCTCTAGAAGAATCCAGACTTACAACGCCCACCATACCATGAATTTATATTTAGTGGAAAAAAATCAATGTAGCTCAAAATGGCGGGAAAATGTCCTTACAGCCCTTTTTGCCTCGAAATAAAACCCTAACCTAATTTTTACAGAGCAATAGCTATTCGTTGCGTATTCTCTTCAATTTCCCCATGGATACTAATAGTATTTTCACGGATTCCACTGATCGTTGCCTGTAGACACCTTTCTTCTTCTTCACGAAATTAGGGTTTCGTGTGCCCTAGGGTTTTCCAACGGTGTTTTTGCTGTTTAATTTAGTTTGATTTGTGGCTTTTTTGTTAGATTAATTTAGGTTTTGATTATGGCTGATGCATTTGAAGAGGAAGGTGATCAGACTGTTTCGATTAATGAGTATCTCGAAGATCTCGAAGAGCAGGAGCTGGTAATTTCACTTTGCAAAATATTGATATTCTGTATTCTTATACCATTTAACTTGTTATATTGCAATCGTTGTATCTATATGTTATACTTAATAGAACAAAAACTAAATCAATTGGGTTAGCAGTGGTGAAGCCAGTATTTTCACCAAGGGGATTCAGAAAATAAAAAAAGTAAAAAAGTGTGACTAAATCAAGGGGATTCACCGGCTAATATTTATACATAAAATTATTTTTTACCTTGTGTATAAGCAATGTAATTTTCCGGCGAAGCGGATTTGGCCCCTTTCGCCACCCGGCTCCGCCCATTTTGGTTAGTAGAATCATGTTCAACTTCTTTTGATTTGTAGAGTTCGAAGTCAGATACACATTTATTCAGTGTTGGATGTAGATGTATATGTGAAAAACAACAAAATTTCGACAAATATTATCCCGAACCTAAAATTTTGATGGTTTAACCCATCAAATTTAGATCCCGGATCCGCCTCTGCATTTATTCATTTGCTGAATTTACATGAGATATACACATTGTAAAGGATAGTAAGAGTATGATAATTCCTCATAGTAATTTGGGATTGAGACTTCAATTTATCTATCCGACGCCACCTAATTTGGGTATTGAGACTTAATTGACCGATTTGTTGATTGATAGTAGTGTGCATCACAAGATGTTATTCTATAAAGTTGAGTCTTTTGTGGGTTTATGTCTTCTACTCAGTTTTTTTTTTCATTATGTTAAACGGAGTCTTGTATAAGCTTAATCATTGCTTGAATTCCATTACCATTAGTCTGAAATTTGAGCATATGGGTGTTGAGATGAATTCAATCAGTAGTTTGTGTGGAGCACATCTTATTAGCATGATGTTTCGGAGTTGACCTCATCTGATGCTAGGTGGGTAGTTTCTTTTGCATTGGAAATAGAGTTGATGATTGTATATTGTGCATCCTTTATGATAGTCATACTTTCTGACTTTTTGAGACCTTAGATCCATATGCCATACTAACTAAGGAAAACTAAGGTTTGAACGTGCAATTTGGGTTAATTTTCTTTCATTTCCATGCATAAATTGCATAAAGACTTTGACTGTGAAGAGTTAGATAAATAGATGTTTAAGTGCACTTTACATGTAAATTTGAGATAGGTGCTAGAGCAAATATAAATTTTAATAAGTTAATATAATTTATAGGTAGGTATTGCTAATCTCAAGCTTGGATAAAGTAAGAGGGTGTTGGTAAGGCTATTCGGCCATTGTAAGAACATTCAAATTGTGATTAATCTTTTTAATATTGAAAACAAAGTAGAATGATAGAAATGGTTCATATAGCTGATCACAACCAGATCGAGTTTGACGTGTAGATGATGATGAATGTATAGGCAGGAGCCTTAGCTAATTATTCTATTCTTATGTCTGTGTGACTCATGGGGGAGCTAGGGTGGCAGAAGCGGGTTCATCCGAACCCCATTCACTGGAAATTACACTGTATACACTGTATATACAAGGTTAAGATTATTTTCTTTTTATATATATAGTAGATGATGAATTCCTTTGGCTTTTTTAGTGTATTTACTGCTTTATATTTTGAATTCCCTTAGTGAAAATTCTGGCTCCGCCAGATAGATGAGAAAGCTACTCTATCTTGTATAATCACATGGTGACTTTTGAGGTCTTTCTTCAGACATTTAGCGGGTGAGTTAGTGTCCTTGCGACTTTCATAGTTTCCTCACTAGACCTACTGAAAACTGGATAATAATTATTTTTTAGAAGATAAATATGGCATCAGGAGCTGTNGTTTCTTTTCAAGCGCATTCCACAATTCTTTTGAGGTCTCCATGTTACTGTATACATTATACATATTATCATCCAGTCCGCTAAGAATATAATTCTTGCATAAAAAATTAGAATGCTTCCACGCTTCANAATTGATTACAGTGGTGGAGTGTACGTTCAGTGCTTCCTTAAAGGATTTTTAGAAGGAAATTTGCTCAAATCCTGAATATACTCGTACTTATTTATAGAATCATTGGGAGTATTTTCATTCTTCGTTGTTTTTAAAAACACTGCAGCTCTAATTTGTACTCTCTTATTTTATACTAAATGCTTTCTATATTCATAATTTCACTTAAAGCGTTTTTAACTGGCTAAACGTGATTTGTTCATTTGCATGTACTACTGTTGATTTTCTCAAGTACCATTAATCCCGTGATAAGATAATGGCTTGCGGTAGCATCAAATTAGCATGGGTTTTCCTTTTGTGTGGGGTGGGGGTGGTGTGGTTTTTTGGGGCCAAATATGTACAGGTTGAACCCCCTTTTCCCCCCCTAAAGAGCATTTATTATTCAGAAAGATATGAACCTTAATCTATTACGAAATGTTTGAAATGTTAGTTGATCGTGCTGTTTTGAATTTGACTGTTATTTTATCCCAGTATATGCTTGATTTTTTATTTTGGGGATAAATCATCTTGGAGTAGGAGGCGGATCTGGTCTTAGGTGGTGATGAAGGCAAGGAGTGCACCTATAGTAAAGGTTATATGAAGAGACAAGCTATTTTTTCTTGTTTGACATGCACACCAGATGGGAACGCTGGGGTTTGCACAGCTTGTAGCCTTTCTTGCCATGATGGTCATGAGGTATTCACTAATCTAAGGACTTACCTTTTTCCTGCTTACCATAAATGATTAGGTGAATAATGATCTCAGGCTGCTGATGGTAAATTTTTTCTGCTTATATTCTGAAAACCCGGGACTACCTGGGAAAATGTTGAATACCCATGTCGCCATTCTGTCCTTTAAAATGTAAAGAATGAGGATATCTTGTCATACAGTAGCAGTTTATGATTTTTGCACGCTATATCTGGGAGGTCGCTGGTGTACTTCAGCGGATGCGTTATACTCTAATGTTATCTTTGTTTAATCCAACTTGCTGCTTGGTTTTGTCACTCTAGTGTACATAGGCTGGTGAAATAATTAAAGCTGTTATGTTTTTGAATTTAACTTAAGATTTTTATTTTCAAAGATGAACTGTGTGGCAATGTTGTAATATTTTCGTGAAGCCATGACTCTAATGTGTTGAAGAAATGTTATCTACTTCAGTCGCAAGATTTCTAATTGAGTACTATGGTGCTGCTTCATATTTTTCTTCTATCTGGTGATAATTTAACTATCTCACTTTTTACATTGAGATATATTAATCTTAATTTTCGGAATGTTGGTTCAACAAGATTTTGGAACTTTGGACGAAGAGAAACTTTAGGTGTGACTGTGGAAATTCAAAGTTCGGGGAATTCTTCTGCAAGCTTGACGCTAGCAAAGATGTTGAAAACACGGAGAATTCATATAATCACAATTTCAAAGGTTCATACTGCACATGTTGCCGGCCATATCCTGATCCTGATGTTGAAGACCAATTGGAGAATCTCCAATGCTGTATCTGTGAGGACTGGTTTCATGAGGAGCATCTTGGTCTTGAGTCCTCTGATATGGTTGGTGGCCCTTGTTCTTCTTGCTTAACTTTTGCTCATCATTTTCAACTCTCTTTTTTATGTGAGATAACTTCATGATTTATGAAACTGAGTTAGTTTGAGATGTTTCGTCGATTGTAGCTTCTGAAAAATGTTGTATTCATTCATATTATTTCCTTGATTCTTGTCCATCACGAAGGATGTATACCCTATCAGTCATGAGATCAGATGCTTCCTTATGTCTAATGCATTACTTGTTTCCTTATCTGTAAGTTGGTTGCAATTTACCTCTTATGACTCATTAGTTAAAAGAAGCTACTAATCGTTGTGCTTTTATTACAGGTTCCAAGGGATGAAAATGGGGAGCCTCAATTTGAGGATTTAATCTGCCAGGGATGCGCAGCTATTTGTTCTTTTCTAAAGCTATATCCTCATTCTATATTTGCACCGGTTCAGCAGCACACTGCTACAAACTCTTCGAAGGACAAGGAGGTGGTTGAAGATGCACCCTCGACTGTGGGATCTTCTGAGGAGCTTAACAGTGGAAGTTCCTCAATTGAGACTCCTGTAACTGAGGATAATCCTAAAAAAGACTTCACCGGGAAGGCTGTTGTTGGAGAAAATGTTGCAACAAACACAATTCTGAATCAGTGTAACCAAATTGCTGGTCCTAGTACCAAATGTGTCCTTGGACTGAACTTGTTAGAAGCTCCAATTCGCCTTGAGAAAAGCAAGCCAATGTTCCTTTCTAACGACTGGAGAGAAATTCTCTGTAGGTGTCCAAATTGCACAGAATTCTACAAACAGAAAGGGCTTGCCTTCTTACTTGAAAGAGAGGATACAATTGCAGAATATGAGAAAATGGCAAAGCAGAAGAGAGCTCAACATGAGCAAGAACTTAGTGCTGAGATGCTTAATAAACTGGGCCACGTTGGGAAAATGGAGGTTTTGACTGGCATTGCTTACCTTAAAGACGAGATCGGTACCTACCTGGTATGTCCCTCATCCCTATCTGATACTGTTTAACTGGTATTTCCCAATTAATCGGGATATAGCTCTCGAGCATTCTTTTACCTTTATATTTCCTTGACAGGCATCCTTCGATCCATCAAAGCCAGTTACATCTGCTGACGTTCATAAGATTTTTGAGAATCTTGCCCAGAAGCGCAGGCGTATGACTTAAGTTATTTTGAATGTTCAAGAAAGGTAGCTTTGCAACTGCACATCGAGTGTAGTTAGTTTTGCTGCTCAACACTGAATCATGTACTAGCAATTTTAACTGCTCTATATATGTACCAAGGGGAATTCTTAGTGTGCTTTACTATCTAAGTTTAGCTTTATCATATTGTCTTACCTATAGTGAGAGTACGATCATGTTGTTAAGCTCAAAGAACTCCTTTATGCTAGAAAGTTTCTATTGGATCAAAATTTCTCGTTCATCTTATTACCCCTTTACAAAGTTCCTGTTCTAGCTCCAAGAAAGGAGCTTTTTTGTAGTAAAGTCAAATTTCTCTACAACAGCCTCGTTTGTTTCAAATATTTTTGGATGTTATAGAGAACATATATTATAACATAACATAAAAATTGATTTCGGAAAAGCTTGGCTTTTATACTGAACAAATTAAAGTAACTATTCTTTCAAGGGAACCTCTTAAATAGTTTCTCTTAGAGGAGCAATGCTACTGGTACAATCCACAATATTAGAAAATAAATACAATTATGCTTCTCTAATTTGAAAATTGAATTGAATAAAGTTCACCGATCTAAGCCTTTATAGACATCCAATTGTACTCTTTACCATCGGTATAATCATTTTACTATCTTTTGTTGATTCATATTAACGAGACAATTAAATAGTTAATAATTTGTAAGAAATAAAAGGGCCACAGAAATAGAAAATCGAGATAATAAAAACAGTTAACTGTAAGACATAAAGGGCTTCAGAAATGCATTTGCTTCTTTTATGATCATTTGTCAAATGCAAATTGATTTATAATTAGATATTTACCAAATAGGTCGCATTGCATGAACGATTTATAAGTAGCATTTTTACAAATGTGATTTATAACTCAGCATTGACTTCTTTATCTAGCAGTTGACCAAATCTTTGTAAATTTCAATTTTCGATTTGTCATAAGTTGAAAGCCTACAAAAAACTCTAATGTTTAAGTTGTAGTATGTTGTAGCATCCGGAAGATATTCGAAATCATCAAACTTATTGAAGTTCTCAAATGCAGTCTTTCCCCGACCCAATATTAAAAATATATGAATAATGTGTTAAGCATGAAGCCGCCAAGGTAACAACGACGATGCGATGCTTGATTTCTTCTCAACTTTTTAAGAGATAGAAGACGTGCAATTGTATATAAACCCTCCAAATATCTTTTCTTCGTCTAATATAAGACAACGTTCCTTTGTAAAGGTGGAAAGTTCAAAATTTTATTTTTTCCTCGGTCCATTTCTCATTCACACCATTTTTTAGCTAAAACCAACACAAACAAGATTCCAGCCTTCTTTTCTCCAATATGCTTCACCAAATCCCACAAAGCATAGGAATTCTCAGGTGCATTATGCATACCATAAACAGAGTATATAAATATGTCTTGAATACTCACTCACGTCATCGTCCTCCATATCTATTTCCTCAACCTTTTCATTGTTGTCGTTAGAACCAATACGGATCCAAAATTTAAATCCTATAAATTTAATTTTTAAAATTTTTAGCATTGAACACATTATATTCAGATGAACGATTACTGAGTAGTACCCTAGGAAGAAATGCATAACCATGTAAGTTTTGATTTGCTATGAGAAATGTTCTACTCTTTGCACTAAGTAGTTAGTACCGCTGGTGATCTCCTCATTTTTCTCTCTGCATGAAAATTATGATTCTCCTCTCTAAAACCCTACGTTATTGCCCTGGGGTTTAGCCAACTTAAAAGGCAGAAAGTGCACAAATAATCCCTTTTTAGGTCGGTGTTTATATTTTGTCTATCTTTGTAATCCTTTCTATGTATTAATAGCCCGTTTAGCCAAGTTTTTCCAAATTAAAAAGCACATTTTTTTTCAAAAAAAGTACTTTTTTTTCAAATTTGAAGTATTTGGCCAAGCTTTTAGGAGAAAAAAAAGTGTTTCTGAGGAGAAGCAAAAAAAAAGTAGTTTCTTCCCTGAAACACTTTTGAAAAAAATACACTTAGAAACACTTTTTAAAAGTTTGGCAAAACACTAATTGATACTTAGAAGTACTTTTTAAATTAATTAGCCAAACACAAACTGCTTCTCACCAAAAGTATTTTTGAAAAAAATAATTCTCAAAATAAGTTGATTTTTCGAGTTTGGCCAAACGGGTTATAAATATGATTCACGTGTTACAGAATTGGAAAATGGAGAATTGGAGCTACTGTTCTTTTCTATTTTATTTTAATTATATTTGGCCTATAGCAATTTGAGCTAGTGTTTGCTGACAACTTTAGACTAATATTTTCTATAAGTAGTTTAATTATTAGATTATGGTCTAAAATTTTCAATTAATTTGTGCGAAACCTTCAAATTTCGCTATAAATATTTTTATTTGTCATAGGTCGCTCAAACACAAGTCTCAACCCAGCGCCAATTCTTTTTCACTCTTTTTTAGGGATTTGAAAAACAATTCAACTACAAACCCAAGTCCATCTTCTTCTCCTTTTTTTCCCTCTAATTTCCCTCTTCTCCTCTCATTATTTATAGGCTGAGATTTTCAGCCTGAGAAGTGTCCCATTTGGTGGCCGCCGGCGAAGCTGTTCGAAAAAAGGGTGAGAAAATTTAATTTCTGAAAATCTAATTGTACTTGCATATGCTGTCTCGTGCATATTTGAATGTTATAGAAAAATTTTGTGTTAACGAGGTCGCTAATTAAACCCTACTTTATGGATTCAATTAATGATTCATTTAGTTGTTTGCTTCCACTGATAGGTGTTTGTTTACTGGCGTCATATACTGATGTACAATGACGATTACTCGTATTTTCTAATTGTGTATTTCTCTCATTTACTCCCTCCGTTTCAATTTACGAGAGTTAGTTTGACTTAGCACAAAGTTTAAGAAAAAAATAAAAGAAATTTTTGAAACTTATGGTCTATTAGAAGGTAAAGCTTTTGCGGGGCCCTCAATTTGGATGACTATAAAAATTTCTCATTAAGGATAAATTGGATAAAATAAAAAGTGTTAAATTGTTTCCAAATATATAAATGTGTCACTCTTTCTGAAACGGATTAATAAGTGAAACATGTCATATAAATTGAAACGAAGGGAGTATCTATTTGCCTTAGATGTCGTGTTTGAAATTTAGAACTGTAACTACACCAAAAGTGAAATTCATGCCAAACTCTGTTTACAGAATTTGTGATAATATGGCGGAACTGCAATCTTGTGCCGAGGGTCTACCGGAAACAACCTCTCTACTCCTCCGGAGTAGGGGTAAGGTCTGCGTACACACTACCCTCCCCAAACCCCACTTGTGGGATCTCACTGGGTTGTTGTTGTTGTTGTGTGGCGGAACTGCAAGATGTGGCTGATTGGTCGGACCTTCAACATGATCTGCTGGTTCTAGTAGTTAGACGTTTAAATTTGATTGAAGACTACCTTAATTTCGGCATGGTCTGCAAATCGTGGCACTATGTGGCCACCAAGGCCAATTTTAACAGTGACTTGCCTAGGATTCCGTGGCTGATGTTAGCTGAGGAGGAGGATGATAACACCTGTAGAAAATTCTTCAGTCTCTATAATGGCATGATTTTGAAGAAGCGGATTCCAGGAGCCAGTGGAAAACGATGTGTGGAGTCTATGGGATGGCTTATCACAGTTGGAAAAGACGAGGGTGAAATCAGTCTGTTACATCCCTTCTCTGGTGTTCAGATCGAATTGCCCCATCAAAATACCACTGAAGATTATTATGAACTCAACGACACTGATGAACCATGGACCTTTATCATGAAAGCAGTTCTCTTAGCTAATCCTTCTCAGACATCTGACTATGTTCTCATGGTCATTGAGGGACCCAACCGATTCCTCAGTTTTTGGAGACCAGGAGATTTACTATGGACCAGGATTAGGAATGGAACCTCTTTCCAACATGTTAGTGATGTGGTATATTTTGATGGCCTCTTTTACACGGTTGCTTATAGCGGCTGTGTCTATGTTTGTGATGTTGCTGGCTCTGGACTGCTAAAAGTCATTTCGTAGCAAAGTTACCACGGAATCCAGATGCGGAGTGTTACATCCTAGAATCATTAGGATCATTATTTGTAGTTACGCTATATTATGTAATAAAGAGAGTCGAGGATGATCGTGACAGGATTCCATTGACGCCCATCTATGCCACAGATAGTGTGAAGTGGACATATCGGACAACAAATATTCAAGTTTTCCAGGTAGATTTAGCTGTTGGCAAAATGATTGAGACCAGGGATTTAGGGGACAAAGCTTTTTTTCAGAGCGCTAATGCTTCTCTTTCGGTCCAAGCTTCTCAATTTCCAGGAATCAAGCGCAATCATATTTATTTTACAGATAATTGTTTGATTGAGCACACGTAGTTTGAAGAAGGAGGCGGCTCGGACATGGGGGTGTTCAACTTAGCAGATGGAAGTTTCCAGTCGCATTACGAGGGTATTTCCCTCAGTCGTGTTTGTCTGCCACTTTGGGTCACACCAACTTTGTGTTGAGTGAGTCATCTTTCTTTATTTACTCTTATGCTATATGTTTTATTTACCCTAAAAGTCAAGTTCTTTTAAAACATCTAAACGTGCCATTTACCTTCAGACTTGATTGATTTATCTTTCTTATTATCCATATAATTGGACAAGGTACTCCCATTAGTTGTTATTGTTCCTTGCTTCATGGTATGTTGTGTTGGAATGAATTACAGCCTCGAAACCTCTTTCTATATCAGTATTGTCCTTGTTCTCAAGTTTCCTACCGGAAACCGTTCATGATCTAATAATATTGATGTGCAATCACCATGCAATTTGCAATTGATATGCTAACTGAAACACAAAAGTAGGAGATGTAACCATATTCTAGCTGTCTATAGAACAGAAAGAGGGTGTAAGATGCTTCTATTACTCTGCTTCAATAAATGTGTTTCAGAGTTATTTTTAAGGGCTTAAGTCCAAGTGGGAATTGATTTATTACAAGGTAAAATGAGTTTCATACAAAGAATAAATATATGATGGAGATGCTTGAACGGACTGCCATTCTGCTTGTATTAGTTTAATTGTTAGCTTCTCTTGCTTGGAATAGTAAAAGCAACAAGGCAATGTTTGAGGTTCTTCATTTTGATGTTTCTGTTGCATCCTCTTCTTGAATCATCCTTTGAAATCGCCTAACTCTTAATCCTTGTGGCCGATGTGACATTAACTTTGACCTGGATCATCCTTTGAAATTAACAAACTCTTAATCCTATTGACCGATGTTACCTCAACTTTGACCTTGTAAGCACTACCATGTCTTCCTTTCTCAACCAATTCAGCTAGAGTTTAAATTAAAATCTCGAACTCTCAGTTTTTTTTTGCGCCAAGAGGATATAAAAAGGTTGATGAGGCCATTGGGCGGTAAGGGACATAAGGGAACTATTAGGTTGAGAATTGGATCTTGGAACATAGAGACTTTGACAGGGAAATCTATAGAATTAGCTAAGATTCTCCAGAAGAGAAAGATTAATATAACTTGTGTCCAAGAGACTAGGTGGGTAGGGTCTAAGGCGCGGGAGGCGGATGAGTTTAAACTGTGGCACTCTAGGATGTAAGATGGGTAGGAACGGAGTGGGCATATTGGTGGACAAATATCCCAGGGAGCTAGTGGTAGAGGTTAGGCGGGTGAATGATAGGCTGATGGCTATTAAATTAGTGGTTGGAGGGCGTACTTTGAATGTTATTAGCGCTTACGCGCCCCAAGTGGGCCTGGATGAGGAGGTTAAAAGGCGTTTTTGGGAAGGTTTGGATGAGGTTGTGCATGATATTCCGCCCACTGAAAGGATATTCATAGTAGGGGATTTTAATGGGCATATTAGTAGGTCTGCTGGGGGCTATGATGAGGTGTATGGCGGCTTTGGCTTTGGGGTCAGAAACGGAGGAGGTACGTCGCTGTTGGATTTCGCTAAGGCGTTTGATTTGGTGATAGCAAACTCGAGTTTTCTGAAGAAAGAGGAGCACTTGGTTACCTTCAAGAGCACGACGGCCAAGACCCAAGTCGACTATCTCCTTCTCTGGAGGTGTGATAAAGGTCTGTGTACTGATTGTAAGGTTATTCCGAATGAGAACCTCACGACCCAGCATAGGCTTTTGGTGGTGGACCTAGACATCGTGCTGAAGAGGAAGAAAAGAGTTGGGTGTGGTCGACCGAAGATCAGGTTGGGAGCTCTGACTAAGGACAAGGCTTAGGAGTTGCAAGAGAAGTTGGCTATAGGGGCATGGAGGAGTAGCGGGGACGCGAGTAGTATGTGGACGAGGACATCGGACTGTATTAGGGAGGCTGCGAGAGAGGTGTTAGGGGTCTCTAAAGGTTACGCTGGAGGCCACAAATGAGATTGGTGGTGGAATGAAGAGGTCCAAAGGAAAGTAGAAGCCAAGAAAGTAGCATATTTGAAATTAATAGAGAGCACGAGCGAGGAGTAGAAGAGGAACATCAGAGAAGGGTATAAGAAGGCTGAGAAGGAGGCGAAGTTAGCAGTCACGGAGGTTAAGACAACAACTTTTGCTCGTTTGTATGAAGAATTGGGGGACAAAGGCGGGCATAAAGTTGTTTTGGCTGGCTAAGGCGAGGGAGAGGAAGGCTCGTGATCTGGACCAAGTGAGGTGCATCAAAGACGAGAACGACAAAGTTTTAATGGAGGAGGCACAAATCAAGCGAAGGTGGCAGACTTACTTCCATGAACTCCCGAATGAAGGGGGATAGGAGCATTGTGCTGGGCGATTTGGAGCAATCTGAGAGCCATTGTGATTTTGGGTACTGTAGGCGCTTTAGTCTCGAGGAGGTTGCGGGAGCGGTGCGTAAGATGAGCAGGGGAAGAGCGACCGGGCCAAATAAGATCCCAGTTGAATTTTGGAGGTATGCGGGTAGGGCTAGATTGGAGTGGCTAACTGGGTTATTTAACGCTATTTTTAGGACGAAGAAGATGCCCGAGGAGTGGAGGTGGAGTACGATGATCCCGTTGTATAAGAACAAAGTAGATATCCAAAATTGTAACAATTACCAAAATTGTAACAATTATAGGGGTATCAAGTTGCTTAGTCACACTATAAAAGTGTGGGAGAGGGTGGTAGAAGCGAGGGTTAGAAAGACGATGTCTATTTCCGAGAACCAGTTCTGTTTCATGCTGGGACGTTCGACTACGAAAGCCATCCATATTGTTAGGAGGTTGGTGGAACAATATAGGGATAGGAAGAAAGATTTGCATATGGTGTTAATTGACCTAGAGAAAGCGTACGACAAGGTCCCTCGGGAGGTCCTTTGGAGATGCTTGGAGGCTAGAGGTGTTCATATATGATGGAACTAAGACTCGGGTGAGGACAGTGGGAGGAGACTCGGAACATTTTCCGGTTGGGATGGGGTTACACCAAGGATCTACGCTCAGCCCGTTCTTATTTACTTTGGCGATAGATACGCTGACGCTTCATATTCAAGGGGAGGTGCCATGATGTATGTTATTCGCTGACGACATAGTGCTGATTGATGAGACGCGAGGCGGTGTCAACGAAAAGTTGGAGGTTTGGCGACAGACCTTGGAGTGTAAGGGTTTCAAGTTGAGCAAGACAAAGACGGAGCACCTGGAATGCAAGTTCAACGTAGTGTTAGGGGGAGCAAATATAGACGCGAGGCTTGATTCACAAGTCATCCCCAAGAGAGAAAGTTTCAAGTATCTCGGGTCAGCTATCTAAGGGGACGGGGAGATTGACGAGGATGTCACACATCGTATAGGGGCGGGGTGGATGAAATGTAGGCTAGCATCCGACGTTCTGTGTGACAAGAATGTGCCACCAAAACTTAAGGGTTGGTTTTATAAGGCGGCGGTTGGACCGTCTATGCTGTATGGGCAGAATGTTGGCGAGTTAAGAACTATCATATCCAGAAGATGAACGTAGCCGAAATGAGGATTTTGTGATGGATGTGCGGGCACACTAGGTTGGACAAGATTAGGAATGAGGTTATTCAGGAGAAAATGGGTGTGGCCCCTATGGAAGATAAGATGCGTGAAGCGAGGCTTAGATGGTTAGGGCATGTGAGAAGGAGAAGCTTAGATGCCCTAGTGAGGAGGTGTGAACGGCTGGCGCTGGCAGGTAGGAGAAGAGGTAGAAGGCGGTCTAAGAAGTACTGGGCATAAGTGATAAGGCAGGACATGGCGCGACTTCAGCTTACCGATGACATGGCCCTTGATAGAAGGGTATGTAGGTCGAATATTAGGGTAGAAGGGTAATAGGCCGTCGTGTGTTTTCTGATATGTTTCAGGTTTATTAGAGCTAGCTGACTAGTACATTGTCTTCGATTCTTAGAATGCCAGTATTAGGGTTATTTTAGTACTATCTTCCGCTTCGGTTTTCTAGTACCCCGTCTTGTTACTACTTGTGGCTATTACTTTTGCTATTGCTATTGCTATTGCTACTGCTTTCTTCCATTTATTTTCTCCGGCCCTTACATTGTTGATATTATTTTCCTGGCCTTGTTGTTGTTTAGTTGCTCTGTTCTTCCTCACGAGCCGAGGGATTTTCGGAAACAACTTCTTTGCTCTCCAGGGTAGGGGTAAGGTCTGCATACACGTTATCCTCCTCAGATTCCACTTGTGGGATCCCATTGGGTTGTTGTTGTTGTTGATAATGATGAGGCCATTGGGCTTTCTCGAGATGTTATTGAATAGTTCAGCTGGACTCACTAACAGAGGAATGGTCTTGTTTTGAAAGTGAATGTTTTGTGCATTTTCTGCTTATACTCTTTATTTTGAACGCTGATTCTCTTTTCTCCTTGTTGCTCTTAAAAAGCATTGATGCAAGTTGAATTATGATAATCGACCCAACAGTAGCACCAGATAAGATAGAAACTGAAGGGGGGTGGCACTGTGGCAGCAGCGGAATGTGTTCTTGCCAATGGCCCTCACATAATCCTGGATTACCCAGAAAACGAAGTAAAACTGATATTGCCAGGAACTGAATACTGAAATTAGTGTAAGTTACATTGAATTCTGCTCCGGTCTTTCTCATCCAAAAAGATTAGGTACATGAAATATTTTGATTTGTTCCTGTATACTAATCAGAAAAGAACAGGCTAACAAATGTTTATGTAAATATAATTAGTATAAATCTGGTTTATCATATCTTGTTGAGTTTGGAACAATTATTTGCCGTCAGCTAGAAGGAAGACACATCTAGGAGCATTTTTGTGTCTGTCAGATAAATGTGATAAAGACACCAAATATGCTCATGTCAACTGTGTTGAATAACTCATTCCATATTTTGGTTAACTATGTAAAGAGCTAGTTTGTTTTCATGTGTCTTATCGGCAATTTTGCATGTTTAACTCCCCATGAACAAGAAAAGTTTGTATACTGGCATTTCTTAAATCTTAACTGTAATTGGAGTTAATCCGTGGAATCTGAAATCTTAAAGTTCAAAGTAAGCACTCTTTCAAATAGGATATGAGAAGGTGACCGAGCCTGCAAATTGAGATTAGTTGTCGCCTATGGTGGTACAACTATCTAAACGAATATTAGTTGAAGGAGATGCGAAACTAGAACCACTTCTCGTTGTTGCACTGGTTTAAATGGTATCTAAATGGATATTGGATGAAGGAGATCCTCTTTTCCCTTGTCTCTCACTATTACTGTTTAACTGGCATGTCCCATTTATTTTAGATAATAATATAGCTTTTGATCATCCATGTTTCCTTGACAGGCATCCTTTGATTCATCAAAGCCAGTTACAGCTGCTGATGTTCAGGAGATCTTTGAGAATATTAGCGTAGGCGGGTAACTTAAGTTCTTTTGGATGTTCAAGGATGTACTAGTAGGCAGCTACACATTTACTAGTATTTTAACTGCTCTATGTACAAGGAGAATTGTTAATGTTGCTATTCTACTATCTAACTCTTAGCTTATAGTAGTATGTTCTATGGTTAGACAATGCTATCATGTTACTGTTAAGCTGAAAGAATTCCTTTGCGCAATGGAAATTGCTGTAGAATGTTTCTGCTGGATCGCAATTTCACATTCTTCTTCCTTCTCCTTTACAAGGTCCCTATTCTAGCTTCAAGCTTCTTGTAGTAGTTTGTACAATTCAGTACTGCATAACGCTGCTGTTTATATATCGATGTTGTTACTGCTCCTTTTCATTTTGTCCTTGAGCCGAGGGTACTCGGAAACATCTCTACCTCCACGAGGTTGGGGTAAGGTCTGCATATACACTACCCTCACCAGACCCCAATTGTGGAAGTATACTGGGTATGTTGTTGTTTGTTGTAGTATTGCATAACGCACAGGGGCATTGGCTAGAGTAGTAACAATAGTATAGTTCATGAAAGATTCTGACACTGAAATGCAGTATAAAGTTAAGAGGTCTCTTTGGAATGCCGCTTTAATATTGAAAGAATAAGAGATTTATTAGATGAATTTAGCTTCATTTTTTTTTTTTTTAATGTTTGATGATTTTTGTGCAGAGAACAATTCAAGGAGTAGCCGATCACAAGTCATTCAAATCAAGAAGGAGATGTGTAGATTGTCATATATTGAATGTGGCCCGGTATGTAAATGATTTAATTTCTCACCATTTGTTTATATTTCATAAATGGTATCACAATTTGAACAAGTGGACCAATGAACAAATTACTATAATGATAAGCGGTGTCAATTTTATATTTATCCTCAAAATATTTTCATTTTTCTTATACATATCTAGCAAAAAAATTCAACGAAGCGGTGTCTCGTGACACCGCATGTAACAAGGTGCACATGCCCGGGCTAGAATTATCTAATACATGTGCGGTGGATAGAATTGCTTGATACTTGTGTTGACAGAAGGTAGCCGGTATCAGTAGACTAATTGAGGTATTCCCAAGCTTGCTCGTACATCATTGCTATTAAGAAAAGATGTTGGACGTGTTATAGGAGACATTAAAATGGTTAGACAACTGCATCAAAGACAATTATTGCTGAAAACTTGTGGTAAAATGGTTAATATGTTGAACAATTGATCCCAACTAGTGGGGGCAAGATTAGGTTTATAATTATGTTCTTTTATTACAAGTGAAAGGTAGCTGTGCTTGGCTCCAACAAGTCAAAAGGGTCTTCTCAAAAGATTTCCACAACCAGTCACTCTTCATCTTCTCACCTAAACTTTGAAGACTGTCTAGTGATGATTATTGTCCATTCGATTTTTTTTTAAAATTAAAATAGAACGGGGTGGTGTTTGGATCAGCTTACACATACTTCAACTAGTTTCATCGCACCTATTATCTCCTATCAACTATCGAATAACTCTACCGTATAGGGCTCGGGAATTTGGGAAGAAATCAAGAGTATTTTTTGCCTCCCCGAGATTTAAATATAAAAATTCATGATTTAAACTCACTTCATTGACCACTATATTTTCTATACTATACCCGTAGGTGTCGATTTTAAAAAGAAATAAATCCCCCTTTTCTCAATCTCAAGATTACGACAAATAGATTTTTAACGAAATCATATAATTATTTAATTTAAATTATTTAAAAAAGCATTAAATTCCCGACAAGCATAGTTTCATATTTCAATGTACAGATCCATGACGCTAGACTGGCGTCATGATTATGTCAATTGCGGAAAATTAATATTCATTCCTTTTGAGATTAATTAACAAAATGATTTTAGATAAGCTAATTTAATTTGCATACCCCATCAATACGTTAACCGTACATGCTTATCCATATTTTGCCATGACTCCATACAATAATTTAAACCCATACAATACATGCAGAAATTAGGATGATATCATAGATGCTAGTTTTAGCAAAAATAGGACATTGGGAAGAACGTGACCAAAAAAAAAAAAAAAAAACCCAAGTGCACTAAGCTCCTACTATAAACGGGTTCAGAAGGGGTCGAATCACATTAGGCCTATTGTATGCGCCTTATCATACATTATTTTGCGAGAAATTATTATCATACATTATTTTGCGAGAAATTATTTTTACTACTTGAACCCTCAATCTTCTGATCACAGGATAATTAACTCTTGCTGTTCTGTTAAGGCTCCCGTCTAACAAAAAAATATCCGGAATAAAACAATTTTCTTCTTCTATGGACTTGGGAAGACAGATAAAAGTTAGTACCTTAAGTATCTATATGATATACATTTAGATGGTACTAGCAGTAATCTTGCAACAGGTAAAAGTTATATTGTATCTTGAATTCGTCATCACATGTAAACGTTAATTTCCTTATTCATTAAAAGGAATTTTAAAGTTACTATATGTAAATAGCCGACAGAAGGAAATTGGTATGCACAAGTAGTAATTTTAGGTGTGAAGCTAGTTAATAAAGTGAGTTGAGAATTATGAGGTTTTTGATTCAAATCCAACGGAGACAAAAATATTAAGTGGTTTCTTATCATGAATTGCCGTACCGATCGAGTTATCACTACCTGCCGATATTTGTGCCGAGGGAAGGTAGCAGATACACAAACGATTCTGAGACCATGGTAACTTGTCAGGAGAGAGAGAAGATAAAGACATTTAAAGACCGGCGTTTACCTACTTGAACATGACATAAATGTAAAATAATTTTGCTAGATCTGCAGCTATTAAATAAACTCACTCACAAACCAGAAATATGCCTTTCATAAAAACGTTTCACATTGTGTTAAGTTCAAAAGTCTTAAGCAGCAGCAACAGTACTTTGGAACCATTGGTGCATCTTAAATTAAATGTGACTGCAAACCAACTCTCTTGTTCTGAATTTAATAAGTACCATACAAATTGAAGAATTATACTCCTAATGTTTTTAGTATTTTTCAGGTCATATAGTAAGACTTGTGTAATAAACGTCTGGTTTCATAGGACTTATTAGTCTTCACTTGTCAAACCATTTGAAAGAATTTGTTCTTTGTTTAGCCTCATTTAGCTCTGGTTCCAAGTAGAAAATATTACTCCATCCGTTTCAATTTAGACGAAGTAGTTTGACTCGACACGTAGTTTAAGAAAAAAGAAGACGACTTTTGAAATAAAGCTTTGTGGGGCCATGATATTTGTGTGGTTATAAAAGCTTCTTATCAAGGGTAAAATTAGTAAAATAAAGAGTTTAAAGTTGAATTATTTCCAAATTTAGAAATGTGTCATTCATTTTGGAACATACTAAAAAGGAAAGTACCTCATCTAATTTGAAACAGAGGGAGTACAAGGAGTCAAAAGAGGCGAATTCAGGATTTTGGCAGGATGTGTGCACTATTAAGAAGAAGTGGATCCAAAATATAATTTTTACGGGTTTAACCTTTACTTCTTACTATTGCGCACTCATTACACTTTTGGAATTATAAGTTCAAAATTAATTTTTCTTTAAAAATAGTAATTTTCTTACATCTATTTCTATTTTTCATGTTGAAAATACTGGGATCAGTTGAACCCATTGACTATATGCTACATCATACACTGTTGCTAGTTTTAAAATACACATTTTATTTAATCATATAAGATTTTACAACGACAAAAGAAGAAAAGAAATTTTAATGTTTGAAAATTTTGAAAGAATAAACCAAACAATTAAAGAAATAAAAAGAAAAGGTACTTAATGACTCTCCAAAAAGAGACACCAGACACGTCCATCCCCCGTGAGCGTCTAGTTCTAAAGAAAAAAAACAAGATTGACATAAGATTTGAAGTCATAACCTCACCTAGAGAGGTACGCCTAATAATCATCACATCATATAATACTTTGAGCATAAGTGCACACACATATATTTAAATATTTTTGAAAAACTATAACATTACTATACATGATTTAGAGAGGGGAGAATGGGTTCACGTGACCCATGGAACCCCCTAGATACGCCCCTGGTCAGTCAATTAATCCAAAAAAGAAACAACTTTGAGTGCTGACTTTGTTGGTTTAACTTAGAATGGTAACTTTTGCCACCGGTGTTAAACTCACGAGTTTAACTTTTATACACGGACAGTGAAAGAAAAAATTTATATTATCAAGTCATCTAAAATGTAATTATATGTACATGTCTGTAATGGTAGTAATCTGGAAAATAAGATAGGTAATCTTGTACGACAAGTTAAATTTTTTGCCTATTCGCATAAATCTACAATAGCCTCTCTTATTTTTTGAAGTGTTAGCTAATTTAAGAATTATCTTTCACTTTTTTACTGGTCTGATTTACTATTTTTTTCATCTAGTCTATGAGGATTACAGCTATATCATAGCCTTGAGTAGCGCAAAAAAGCCACATCATGTGCCTATATATTACATTGGACCACCAGCTAATTAACAAAGTCACAAGGTCCCATATAGTGACATGGATATGTCAATTTGCATAAACTAAAAGTAATAAATCAAAGCAATGTAGTAATGTTTAAAAATCACAAGATGAGGAAACACATCCCAGTGCACGAAATATATCTGACGTTTACGCAGGCAGGGTATGATAAAGGGCCCACCTCAAAAAATATAATATAAATAGTCTACTCTAATACAAGCGCCAATAGTCAATTTCACAGCTTAAACCGTTGCTCTATAGATCACACATAGACAAGGTGAACCATATCAAGAAAAAATCAAGTACTAATATTTTTCAAAGGCCTACTTAGCAAAATATTGACTCTTTAGAGATCCCTAGAACCAGACACCCACAAAAATTGAAGAATGAAAAGAATCAGTCAACAAATTAAGTCATGAAATTAGTCCACGTACAAGAATGTTACATCTGTCCATGCATAATAAAGAAAGAATTAAATGGTATTTTCCTAACTATATTTTGTCAGCTTGTATTAAATTTTTTAGAGCTGGTCATAATATCTATTTCTCTAGGGTTTGATCTTTTGATTCTTTTGCCTAACACTTCCAAATGGACTTTAACCTTTTGACCATTTTAAGGCAGGAAATTAGGAAACAGAAACAGAAATCTTCACTTTATGGAAATTCATATAGTATATGGTTATTTAAAAATTTGTATAATATTACATATCTTCTTGTGATGAAATGGTCAAAAGCAGAAGTTAAAAATTATTTTCAAAAAGAAAATAGTCACAAAGGCAATTTACTTTTCGTTTAAATTCAACTTCTTTATATTGAGATTGCAAAAGGGTGATGAGTTATGAACAAAATACAAGAACAAAGTAAGTGTTCTTAACAGCTTGTTACTAGAAGATTTTGACAAAAGATTATAGTTTCTATTTCTTTTCGGAGTTAACATTTTTCTAATCGTATCTCAAAGAAAAATCTTGAGTTCACATGGTTAGATCTAAGAATATGTGAGCTTGTTGTACAGATTAAACGTTTTGGTTTAACGGTCAATAAAATGGTATAAAAATTACGAAAGCTTAGGGAATCAAATCTTAGTAAAAAAAATTGAAAAAAATAATACTAAATGGTTTCTTTTCATCTGGCTATGTTTTAACTGATAATAAGAGGTTGACCTTGGTTAGTCCGAAGAGGGGTAGAGATAGGTTAAAGAAGTACTGAAGAGAGGTAATTAGGTAGGACTTGGCGTTACTTCAGTTCACTGAAGACATGACCATAATAGGAAGGTGTGGAGGCCGAGAATTAAGGTAAAAGGTTAGTAGGTAGCCGAGTGTGTGTCTTCTCCATACCAGTAGTATTAGTAGTTAGTCGTGTATTCGGTTATTGGTAATCTTTATTACTACATATTTTTTTATTAATTATCTTACTGTTGATACTGCTTGTTCTTTTACTATCTTAATGTTGTTACTGTTTGTTTTCTTATTATTTTGCTGTTGTTATGGCTGGTTGTTACTGTTTTCTTTTTTCTTTCTTTGAGCCAGGGGTCTATCAAAAATAGTCTTTCTACCCTCAAAATAAGGGTAAGGTATACGTACACATTATCCTCTTCGGACTCCCCTCGCGCGTTTATATTGAGTTTGTTGTTAATAACACTCTTACAAAGAAAAGACAGGATATGTGACCTTGCTGGCACTTAAAGACGCTCCTATTCAATTTGTTGGGTGGGTGGGGGGTGGGATGGGTTGGGGGGCGGGTACTATTGTGTGTGGGACTAGAATAGACCACCAATTTTGCCAAAGATGTTGGGGTCAGTCACATGCAGCATTGAAAGATGTCTTCTTATAAGTTATGATATAAGTCTTTTTCCTTTTTCTACCTTTTGTATTTCCACAAAATGTCAATGTTGTCTACTGTTTATTCACTTCAATCATGGATTTAAAGGTAAAGTGAGGCCTTTATAACCTAAAGTGTTATAAATCAAAAGAAGGTAACACCAAACAAACATTTTTTTAACCCCACTAACTAGATCTTCAAAAGACTAATTTGACTTCCAATATGCAAGATCAGGTTAACTATTGTGAAGAAACACTTTTTAAAGACCTAAGTTTCTTTTTCTTATATAATTTATGCATTAGCATGATCAACTTTTTAGCATTATTAACATTGTTAAATATGACAGATTTCCTGGCTACCACCATTTGGGAAGTCCCTTCGAGGACGACGACTTTCATACAATTCTTGCAAGGCTAAAGAAACATTTATGGGTAAAGTATCTTATTCATATAATTGCTTATATTGTACGAACAACGAAGTCAGAATTTGAAGTTCCTGAGTTCGGGATTCTATCCTTTTTATGTTATTACTGGGTTCTAAAGTAAAAATTTGTAATTATTCAACGGATTTCTTAAGAGAAATATAAGGTTTGCACTAAAGCTACTGGATTTGGCCGAACCCGTTACCGAAGCTCTAGTTCCGCCCCTGACTGCATGGATAAAGCATCTCTATCTTACCCGAATAAACGTTATGATAGTTGAGCATCCTTAGATGAAAGAATGGTCCTTCCGGATTGATTATCATCGTATCACCACCTCTCACGTATCCTACATTCAAATAGAGATCGTTATCTCGATATGAGCATCTTATTTTAGTAATTTACTAACAAATAAATAAGTAAAATCAGCGTGAGGATAAATAGATTGAGGGTATATAAATTATGAGGCAAACACATTAAAAATTTGCATTAGGTGAAATTTTGATTGGTTATATACTGTTCTAGCAATTGAATTATGAAAATTCAACAATAATAGAATCTTGGATTAGGAATAGTCTCTTTCCATGAAATTCAGGACCGACATATTCTCCTGCCTAATCTCTTTTTTAAAATTCTTTTTCGACCAATTAAATACTCGATTGAAGAAAAATAAATAAATATACCAAATGCTAGTTGTACTCATTCTATAATCTATTTACGACTAATTAAAACGCTATAAGTCACGGGTTTGTTAATTTTATCTACTATTCAACACGAGAATGTTGAAATTGAAAAAACAGACACATACACATACATATTCCAAAATTGAAATCAATTGTTTCTTTCTTTCATATAGAGAATTGGTACTACCGCTAATACACTATTACTCTTTGATTAGAGATAACAAATTACAAAATTATAACTCAAAATATTTAAGAGTTAAGTCAATAAATGATCTAAATTGAAAAAGAATATTTGAATGTTTTGTACTTGGATGTAGTTTCACTCAGAAAAAAAGCTAAGATTTGTGAGTAAAAAAAAATTCCTCAAACAAAATTTTCTATAAAATACTGAAATTCAATATTTATAAATACTATGGACGAACTAGTTCTTTTTTTTTTTTTTTTTTAATTTAAAANAAATTCCTCAAACAAAATTTTCTATAAAATACTGAAATTCAATATTTATAAATACTATGGACGAACTAGTTCTTTTTTTTTTTTTTTTATAATTTAAAAAGGACACGCATGGTCCGGAAAAGGACGGAACTAGTTTCTTAATTCAGTAAATATTAGTACTATTCAAGGCCAAACTTGGAAAAATCTATTTTTTCTTTGATTTTCCATCCGAGTCCGGTACTCACATCAGAGTCCGATTAAATTCGATTTATATTGAAAAGTTCCATATTAGGTGTAAAGCGCTTTTGACAAAGAAGACTTCATACCCAGAACTCAAACCCGAGACCTATGAGTAAGAATGAAATAGTACTTATAATTCCACCCCTAACTCTCGTCCATAACTCGGAAAAATCTATCAATTATGAAAAGTAAAATCAATAACAGCTGCAATTACCTAATCCAGATTTTTTTAATAGTTCAATTCAACATCTATAAAAACTCTCTTCCCCCCCTCTCACATGCAAACTCTAGTTAGCACTTCTCTCCTTTCTCTCTCAAAATTATTGATTTGGCTTCTCGTCCTCCTCCTTCCCTCTTTACTTATTCACAAACCATTTTTTCCACATTTCAGAAACAACAAAATCACTATTAAAATCATGGGAAATTGTGTAGAGGCCTGTTTACAAAGAGAAAATACAGAGGAATTAAGGATGCAAAAACAAGAAACAGAGGAAAAAACTGGGGATTTTTCAAAGGAAGAAGATATTGGGATGGAAAAGAGCAAAACTAATATGAGATTGAAAATAGTTTTGACTAAAGAAGAATTGGAATGGCTATTACTTCACCTTAAATTCAAAGAAGGGAAAAATTTGGAGGATGTTTTGGGAGAAATTGAAAGAAGCAGAGGCAAAATTTCTTGTGGATGGAAACCATCTTTAGAAAGTATTACAGAGAGCCCTGAAATTCCAGAAATGATGGATAGATCATAAGTTTTCAAAATGCTCTTTTTTTTAGGTCATTTCCTTTTCATTTGGTATCTAAGATTTAGTAGTCCTTAGATTCATTTCACATAGGTCAATTGAAGAGGAAGTGTTGTTTATTAGGAGTTTTTCATTCTCAAGGCTCGAACTTGAGACGTTATGTGTTATATCTAGTCATTTTTCTTCTTGAAGGGGAATCTTGAAGTAACAGTAAAGTTATTTACATGTGACTTGTGCATGCCACGGGGTTCGAGTAGTCAACTACTAGTGTTTGTATTAGGGTATGCTGTCAATATTACAAGGTACAACTTTTTCTCGATCCCTCCACGAACACGGGATACTTGGTACACCAAGCTGCCTTTTTCTTTGTTTTCTCTTCTTCCTTCTTATTGTATAGTTAAGTTTTTTTTTTCTTTTTCTTTTTGCTTCCTTTTTGTATGGATGAGGTCATAATCCATGCTTGTAATTACTGATTGTGTAATTAATTGAGGCTTTGAGTGTTCCCTTTTGCTTTCTTTTTTTGTATGGATGAGGTCATAAAACCTAAGTAGCTTTTTTTACAAGAATTTGGCTGTTGAACTTATCACAATATTCTTTTCACTCTGATGCTTTTAGTTTTCACTCTCTCCACATCTAAAATTATTCTAAAATTAGCTTAGTATAATGCCTCTAGTTCATTTTCACTTGTCTAGTTGTCTATTAACTCTTGAGCTCACCAAATTGTAGTATTAGATTCGATTTCAACAAATTTAGAAAAAATTAAAAGATTTAAGTAAACAAGGGAAGGAAATGAAAAGGGCAAGCATAAGTGGAAAGATAGGTTAAGAGTTGGAAAATGATTTCTTATTTTGGATTCCAAGTTACAAAAAGAACAAAAAATCAACGTCAAAGCGTCAAATATACCCCTGTACTTTCGAAAATGATCTAAGAATATCTCTCGTTATACTATTGGGTTATCTATACTCCTATAGTCATACTTTGGGTTCAAATATACCCCTCATTTAAACGGAGGGACACATGTCATCGTCCTGTTGGCCAATTCTAAATATCTCATAATTAATTAAAAAGACCCATTACCCATACCCGAAAAATAATTTTCTAAAGTAATTTTTTTTGTAAAAACTGGAAAAAATTGATTTTTTTTAATACTAAAAACTGAAAAAAATGAAAATATTTTTTTTCCAGTTTTTACAAAAAACCTGCTTTAAAAAAAACTGAAAAATATTTTCTAAAACAATATTTTTGTAAAAATTGGAAAAAAAAACTGAAAAGCAATTTTCTAAAGCAATTAAAAACTGGAAAAAAACTGAAATTTTTTTAACTAAAAACTAAAAAAAAAAATAATTTATTTTTTTCAGTTTTTACAAAAATATTGCTTTAGAAAATTGCTTTTCAGTTTTGTTTTTAGTTTTTACAAAAAACATTACTTTAGAAATTATTTTTTTGGATTTTTAAAGTAATATTTTTCTAAAATATGGAAAAACATATTTTCGATTTTTTCAGTTTTTATTAAAAAAACATTCAGTTTTTTCCAGTTTTTACAAAAATATTGCTTTAGAAAATTGCTTTTCAGTTTTTACAAAAATATTGTTTTAGAAAATATTTTTCAGTATTTTTAAAGCAGTTTTTTATAAAAAAAAAATATTTTCGTTTTTTTCAGTTTTTAGTAACAGTTTTTTCCAGATTTTACAAAAAAAAAATTGCTTTAGAAAATTATTTTTCGGGTATGGGTAATGGGTCTTTTTAATTAATTATGAGATATTTAGAATTGACCAACAAGACGATGAGACATGTCCCTTCGTTTAAATGAGGGGTATATTTGAACTCAAAGTATGACTGTAGGGGTATAGATAACTCAATAGTATAACGAGGGGGTATTCTTAGACCATTTTCGAAAATACATGGGTATATTTGGCCCTTTGCCGAAAAATCAATGGAACTCCACAAATTTTCTTATTTATACTATTATTCTCTTAACCTAATTCAAAAATAATAATTATGATTATTTTCACCATTTGCGCTTACCTTGAGCAATTGAGCTACGTTCCAAACTAAGGGTAAGTTGTTTAATCAATACTGTGTTATTAATTATATACAAGTGGGAATTAGTTAAGTTTCTGTATTATCACCCAATTGTAGTATATATTAATCTTATTAATATCTAATTTTATTTAAATTAACCAAATAACAGTAAAATTCATTTCACTTAATTTATATCTAATATTTTGTAGTATGTGTGATCACTCTCTACTCGTCAATTATTCGCATAGAACGACTATTTTGGAAAAATAGTGGGTACAATGAGTGCAATAAAGTTGTCTGAAATCTGTACAAAAATGACACCATGTAGCTACTCCAATGGGCTGCTATCTAGGTATTAGTCAGTGCGTCCTGAATTCAATTTTTCAGTTTATTTTTTAGAACAAAAATATTATGAGTTATCCTGAAGTTAAAATTTCAGAATAAAATAATTGCGAAAAATGGTTATTTATGCACTTACCCCGAAATCTGCTTAATAAAGGCCCATGGGAGATGGAGCCCAAATTTTACTAACCCAACATTTTCCAGTTGTGGCATTTCATAATTAATTAATGGGATGTTTATATAAATAGCCGACCATATTCATTTTTTACTTTTTCTAGTCATATATATAGTTTATATATTGATTATACATAATTATACACATATAGTGCATAAATTATGCATATATTATACTTCCACCGGCTATTTTTTGTTTAAGCAATTGAGTGACCTGCTATTTAAGTTAATTATTCTTAATTAATTTAAGTTTTAACGTGTTGAAAAAGTAGATCTTTATTTGCTCAAATAAATTCTAGATAATGCATTGAACCAAATGACCACCCTTAATGTTAGATAATTGATCAAGTAAGTGTAACTTTTGCTAATCTTAGCCGTACAGAAGGTTTTTTATTTTACTTAATTGAGTAGGAACCTGAAGGCTAGCTTTTGCTAATCTTAGCCGTACAGAAGGTTTTTTAGTCTATCGAAAAATAAGTCAAGTAGAACCCTGAGCAAATTTGAAGTTTCTTTCAAATTTATCACATGAATTCAAGTCAATTAACTGGTCAAAAGAACCTCAAAACAAGTCTCTTTTTTTTTTTTCTTCTACTAGTTGGATTTTGATAATTTTGAATTGACATCCCAATAGCTCTCTCAATCAAAAGACATTCTGCCTTTGGCTTGTGATGAAAATTCAAAGACTCAGTTTCAAGAAACAGCTCTATCTTAGACTATGAAGATTTATACAACCGACTTCAACTTACTTCGGATTGAGATGTGATTATGGCTGCATTTTTATACTTCTTGTGTGTTGTATTGGGGGGTGAGGTGGTGTTGGCAGCGAGTGGATGCAGCTCTCAGGCAACAGATTCATCTGAATCTAATATTTTCGTTAATTGTTGCTAATTGACAGTAGCGTATGCAGGATTTTTCTCAAATAGTGTTTGATGTCGTTTAACCCGAAGGATATTTTAGTGAACTTATCAGTTATTGTACAATACAATATAGTCAAACCAAACATAAAACTATTACTAAATCACAACAAACGATTTAATCTATTCAAACAATGTATTCACAAAACAATACTGTATAATACAATACATTAAAAACGATACACTGCTATCACAGTAGTGGCAACTATCCCGATCATGATTGTCAAGTAGATATCTATCCCTCTAGATTTTGGTAACTTGACCAAATGTGTAACAGAAAGACACACCGTTGCTAATTTTATAAACTTCTTCTTTGCTTTCCTTTCCTTTTTAGACACGAGCGCAAGGGCGAGGAGAAACAATAGGAGAAAAAAAAGAAGAAAAGGTCGAGGTGAAAATATACATGCAACCGTCATTACGAATTTGACAATCGATTAAGGAAAAATAGTTTTAACCTACATACATAATTACTAAGCGTCGATAGAACGCATTGATCAACATGATCAACCTTTGTGTGTGCGACACGTGTCCAGGAGCAGTTTCATTTTTGAAGGATTTTTCGATGGGAAAAACATCAAATCTCACGACTATGAAGGATTTTCCTATGCAAAAAAACTCACAATGCTTACTAATCTACCTTTGATGCTGTTCACAAATAGAGGTGTTAAATGGGCGGGTTGAATCGATTTTAGGCCGATTAAAATGAGTTGAGTCAATAAATGAGCCGGTCATTGACCCGCCCAAAAATTACTTGGGTTGGGATGAAAATTTAGTCCCATCTAACACCTAGAGTACCTCCTAGGCCTCCTTTATTAGCTCTTTCCTGGAGGGAACATCTCAATGTTCATAGATTAATATATTCGCTCCCATATTAAGATTTATCCCTTTTTCTCAAATATTAGTATTTAATTGAATAACATCGATTAAAGCATATGATCAATTTGAGATGCTTTATTGAAGATGTATAAGATTAAAAAATTTAAGCATTTCTTGAAAACTTTATATTTTGACATCTATGTCAAGTTTATACGTTGGGTAAGATTTTTTAAATTTTTATGCATAAACATATTTTGACGGGATATATGTTATGAACTAAAAAACACAAAAATTTCATAAAAGCATACATATACAATTTATGATCACACAAAATTGGAGAGTGAATATGAACAATATGAATATTTCATAATTTTGCGATCAAAACAAAAAGATACATATAGAAGTCTTGGAAGTAAACATGCATGAAGCCCCCCCATAAAAAGTTAAACTACTATACACCACCAACATATAAAACCTTTAAATTATCAAATTATCTAAAATTATGAATAGATATTGGCATAAATAACTTATACATGTATTGGAACAACATAGTTTGATATCGTCTGACAAACACTACATAAGTTATGTCAGAGACAATTTTTCTTATGCAATCAACCAAACATTGTAAATTTATGTGAAATTTCGTAGAATTATTTTAGATAATGCGTTGAACCAAATTACCCCTTAATGTTAGACAATTGATTAAGTATAAATTTTACTAATCTTAGCCATACATAAGGT